ATGATAACTCTTCACCTTTGCTGCCACAAAATTCATAAGCTCATTGTTACATTTCTTTAATAGCCCATATAGTGCAACGGTTATAGTGCCTGACCCTCAGAAAGGGAAGCTCACTGTGAAAGCAGATCTGATATTTGACGAATTCAGTAACCTCCCTCACATCTAGATGATAAGTTGCAAGTTTTGATATATAGATGTTATTTGACATTCTTCTGAAACATTTCATTGTTAATTGTCCATACAGTTGGTGTTGATGTCCATCAAAGCGTAACATTGATGAAGGATATAGGTGATAGTATTATTAATAAACTGAAACCAAGGCAGCCCCCCTCCTGTAAACCGAAGGATGCAGGCATCCTAGTTCTAGACGATGAAACTGAAGGTGTTATAGACATGTAAGACCTGATCTTTCTGACTCTCAGATCTTTCTGACTCTCATAAAAGAATCTAGTTTTACAAATATTCGTAGCAGATAAAAAATTACATACTCCCAGCCTTTGGTCCCTTCAAGTTGTAAATGTGATTTATCAGCGACTAACTTCCATTTTCACGAAACCAGGCCAAGTTTCAATCTTATAGATGACGACTCAGAGGAAGGTAGAGAGTAAATTCCTGCCCTATGCACATTTTATTGCCCTCAGATCCATCTAATTAATGATTCTTTTAATTAAAATCCATCTTGCAATGAAGTTGGAACTGATGAAGACGATGAATGCAAGATCATCTCTGAAAAGAACATATTTGATCACATACGTGAAAAGGCGAAAAACTTACCTGCACCGGTCATTTTGGGTGATACTGCATTAGAGACAAACTTGGCTCTTATTAGAAAACGAACTCGTGAGAGACTGATTTCAATTGATGCTCCAATAGAAGTATTAGATGAAGGAACAAGCAAAGTTTCACGTTACAGCATGGCCCTTCAATCTGCTAGAGCTCATCAACAGGAAATGAAGTTCTCAGACAAAGATCTACTAACTTCAGAAAATCATAATTTCTCTAAGGACACCATCAGTCCTACAAATTACACGGGTAAAGTTTCTTCTGTCATCTTCCAGTTCGCATCATTTTGTTTATTAATTAGAAATAATGACTGACATATCATAAAATAAATATAATAGATTAACAGACAAAAAAGTGACTTTCGGCGCAGTGCCTATTTTGATATTTTGCCTCTGACTATAATAAGGGACAGTGATGCACCATTTCCCTATGACAGTGTCCGGTGGCATTTTCACAGTGACTATAATGACCATGTAGTCATATTGTTGTTCATTGGCCATGTTTAAGTCGCATTATAGGAAAACTCCTTATGATTGTAGAGAGCTGAAGACATAAGTTATCTATCTATTCCAGGGAAACTTTTATATGAACCCGATTCTGTTCAACCAGCATTCACACACGTGCAAGATTCACCAACGTGGGAGGCCACTGAATCCATGGAATATAATATGGCCAATCAGAAGAACTGCTTCAACACTCGGTGTGAACAAGGCAGCAGTTCTGATTTTGAGGGTTTTACAGGCGCAACAAGAGGCGTGACAGATAGTATTGTTGATTTGGACCCTGAACCTCTGGAGAGAAAGCAACATGAATCTAAAGGGGGCACAAAGGTGAGGAATGGTGATGATCAGCCTCCGGTGATGTTAAGAACCTTGTCGGGATACAGAGCAGCTGATGAGGTGCCATCATCACCTTTGCCGAAAAAGGGAATTGGTGAGTTGAGAAACTCTTCAGAAATGAAAGGGAAGAATCTCCCTTCTCAATGTTTATTGGAAAGGCCGTGCTCTTCATCAGCAGTGGTGGGTGACAACAAGGAAGTGAACTCCTTCATGGGGTTCAAAAGTGTGTTTTCATTTCTATAAATAGAGTTGTTTCACTGCATGTGGATTTCATATTATACTCGTGAACTACTGAAATCATTTAGACTAAAGTAACTCGGATCGAAATGGCTATCTAATTGGTTATGACTTTACGAGTCTTTTTTTTTTACCTTACTATTAATTGAACATTTGGTTCGAATTAGGTAGATGAGTAGAACGGTTTTTCTTGCCAGTTTGCCCCTTCACATAGAATTCCAGGTAATACCCACTCTCCCTTTTCACTTTTTAATTTTCAAGGGTGTTTTTTTTGTGGGATTACTTTCAATGGAAACACACTCTTCTTGACGTCTTGCGCCGAAATCTTCAAGTGAAAAATAATTTCATTTTGTATTTTCTTTAGTCAAATGAGATAATCACTTTGTCTCATTACATATTTTTAACCTTGAGTATCAAGTAATCAAGATGATACGATAGATAATACAATTGACAAAAGTATGACCATTGTATGAAAATATCACATTTTATTAGAAAATACTACGTATACAAATATGAAGGAAGAAGCACGATTAGTAATTGTAGAATCCAATTTCTCATTTTCTGTGTTGCTTACTTTAATGAAGAAACACCAATTCAATACGACTATAATGTATTCCTATTACCACTACCAAATCAAGGAGATCGATAGAGTGCGTGAAAAGTTACCTTGTTACAACTTTGTTTAGCAATAAAATCGAGTGGCAAAACCAATGGCGGACCAAGATGTAAGTGAGATTAGGACTGAACACTAAACTTGATGTATAACAACTTCAAATGTAATAAAAACGTTAAAAAGTAAGTCATCAACATAAATTATGTAGTTAATTGCATACGAATAATAAATAGCTCATTAGTGCAATTTCGGTAAATCAAGTCATCACTCATCAATTTTCATATTTAAAAATGACTTTTCATTATCGATGCTTCTAAAAATATTTCTCTCAATGTAGAATGCTAAAGATGTTTTTACTTGAACTTATTTCAGTCTCAGTCTCTCAAATCAGACTAGATAAGACTGGGCCAAAACAAACAAGATCAGATTTAAATAGACCAAACCACGCCACATTAAACTTAAATAGATTAGACCAGCCTAAGGATGTTTTTACTTGGACTTATTTCAGTCCCATATCAGCTCAAATCATAATAAATCAGACTAGATTTCAACAAGCCAAACTACTTCATATCAGACTTAAATAGATCAGACAAGACTTCAACGGTTATAATACACAGAGACAAAAAAATTACCAGACTAAAATTAAATAAGAAAGTTAAATGTACTAATACAAAAGTTTCTAAAATAAGAAAGTTAAATAAGGAGTTTCTAAAATATACTCCTTCCGGCCATCACAAAAGTTGTAAGACTTGATTTGAGGTGAAATAAGAAAGTTTATGTGATTAAAAGGGTACCCGAGATAAAAAGGGAGTGTTTGTGTTTACTTGTGCTTTTTAAAAGTGATTTATTTAAGTGATTATGGGAAAAGTGATTTGTAGTAAAAGTGGATAGTGTTTGTAAAGAGAAGTGATTTTAATTAAAAGATATAAGTTGGAGTGTTTGATAAAAAAGTGATTGTGATATAACATTTGGATGAAAATACAAAAATGCCCTCAACCACATATAAATCATATGGTGCATATATTAGCAAGCCTCAAGAGTCTGCATACATCTTCCGATTTTGAATCTCCCATTGTTCAGACACATCGATTAATGTTGCAGGTCACATATATGTATGCCTATCGATGGTCAACAATGACAATTTTTGTTTCGTGTATGTATGTGTCGTCTCTTTTGCTTTAGTCCCTCTTAATTTACTTTCAAGATGTACTGGAGCATTAATCCTAATTAAATTACTTAAGCTATTTGTCCTTTATATATACTTCGTATATATGAAGACGTATTGGAGCTTTCAAGATGTACCACATCTTTGTGTGTGTGTAAAAGAGGTGTGACCATGGGGACGGGGTTGTGTTTGCCAAATTTCATCAACAAATTGGATTTGCCTGTGAAGATTGCATGGCCGCTGCAATAATTGAGACAAGAGTAGAGAACTTGTTTGTGACTGCAAGATTTGGAGGGAGGAAGACGATGGAGAAGTAGGTTGGGAATTAAATGGGTAGAGTTGGACAAGGCTAGGTAAATTAGGTTAAAAATTACCCTCAAAAGTTGTTGATATTTACAAAAGAGCCTAGAAGCTATTAAAAGCAGCCTACACCCAGCTTCTACTTTTTAACTTAAAAGTGCTTTTTTTAATTAGAAGTTGTCATTACCAAACACCTTTTACAGCTTTTTTTAATCTAAAAGCTCAAAAGTGCTTAAAATAAGCTTTAGCAAACACTGCTTAATACTAACCTAAACATTAGCGGGTTGGTTTTCTTTGATGTTTTGAATAAGTGAAAATGTTTTAGGTAAATAGTTGTTTGTTCCTAGCATTTTTGGATGGAAACGTTGTAATTCGAAGCGTTTTTTATTAGTGTTTTGAAATAGTTCATTTTCTACTGATTGTTAGAACATCTCCAATGCTATAATGTTCACGGTGCACATGTGGCATGAGTGATAGCCACATAATTATTAGCAAATAAATTATTTCTCTCCTTATTTGAATGATTTTATACAATTTTGGTAAGTTTTTCCCTGCAATGTCAACAACAATGTCAACATTAGACGGTCTCCTTGACATTGTGGAGAAAAACTTACCAAAACTGTATAAAATCATTTAAATAAGGAGAGAAATAATTTATTTACTAATATTTATGTGGTCATCTCTCATGTCACGTGTGCACCGTGCATATTGTACCATTGAAGATGCTCTTATGGCTAGAATGTTAAATTACCAAATATGTTTTGCAAACTTGCCAATTTATTACGCTAGTTGATCAAGTTAACAACTCATTAACATAATAGCGGATTGAGTTGCTCAAACAAAATACATTTATATCAACATTATTCTAGTACCTTGTTTGAATATGAAACAAATTAAATATGTTAAAATTTTAACAGAAAAAAATGAAGTGTGCTACATGGCTCTCATGCAAAGCCTTTGCTCCATGCATTCCCATTTGGCAACACGTTGCGAACTGAGCTTTCCTTTACTCTCACTTAATTTCATTTATATACTCTTCCGTAACTCGTCAGAGCTCTCTATCCTTATCTCAAACATTTATCATTCCTTTGATATATATCATCATGGATTCCCGTTATTCTCAAGCACCGCGCCAGAACCAACAGTACGGCCGGGATACCGGCAAGAACCTGAACCTCCTCCCTGAAAATGGTCCGTCCACTGGCCAAGTCCTAGCCATCGTAGCCCTCATCCCGATTGGAACCATCTTCCTCGGCTTGGCCGGCATCTCCTTCCTGATCTCCATGATTGGGCTCGGTCTCAGCTTGCCAGTTTATCTCCTCTTCAGCCCAGTTCTGGTGCCGGCAACCATGGTGATCGGCCTTGCCGTCACCGGAGTTCTCACTTCGGGAGCTTTCGGGATCACCGGATTATCGTCTCTCTGGCGCCTCATCAACTACTTCAGCCAAGGGAGGTCGTCCATAATGCCAGCTGAGAAGATGGACTATGCAAAGAAGGTCATGCAGAATGCTATGGTTCAAGTCGGACAGAAGACTCAAGATGTTGGTCAGACAATTCAAAACAAGGCCTAATATGATGAGTCCCGGAGCGGGAGGGGGGGGGGGGAGGGGGGTAGACTTTAATTAGACTTTGGAAATAAAATTGTGTCCCAGCTGCTTTAATTATGGTTTTATTACTTGGATTGTTCTGATTTCGAATACTTGATTTGTCTTGGCTTAGATGGTTCCCCTTCCTGCCACCATGTATAATTGCAGATTCATGTTATCACCTAGTAAAAACAGAATACCTGAATAAATGGTGTTCATATAAAAGCACTGAAAATGTAAAACAAAAATCTAGGAGTGACTAGATGACAAATAGCAAACGGAGAAGTAGATACGGTAAGATAAAAATCATAAAATGAAGAAAATAATAAAATTGTTTAACATACAAATTACAAAAGAGTAATTCCGAGCAAATAATAAGAAACAAAAGAACCTGGAACAAATAATAAAAAGCATAGCAGTTTTTTTAAATAAAATGCCTAATGTGGATTTCCATAATGATTAATTGCAATTACGAATTCATTTGGGTTTCCATCTTAATTAATTGCAATTACAAACCGGATACTGCATTTCGTCACCACTACCAGTGCATATGCATATGAGTGCATATCTACCAGTGGATACACACATTTGCTAGGGGATTTTTACATTTTTAATTAAAAAAACGTCCTAGCAAAAAAAAAACAAGAGAGACGGTATTGGCCTTTCTACCCAGCCATGGAAGGGAAACAAGAGTGTTGCAGTTAATTGAATGACAAATTTAGGAAGAGACATTATTGCCCGGAGGAGGAGCAGCAAAAGGCATTGAATTGCCAGAAGGTATCCAAAAGGTCAGAACGGAAGATGCAGCTGCAAACATTACCCTTCTTGGAGCCCATTTAACACAAGATGCAATCCCCACATAGCTATCCCATGAAGCCACCTATTGAAAACACAGGCATGCATATAGGGTCAGTGTCAAATGCATTGCCATACCACAAAGAAGTCATCAAGAGAATAAATGCAGTACACCAACAGCTATGTAATAATAATGTACCCACAGGTTTGCAGTCCATGACCGGAAAGGACGCTTACCTTGTTAAGTTTATCAATGTTCCAAGCATGTAAGTTTCCATCCCCTGAGCCTATATCATCACATGATTCACGTTTAATCACTACCATATTCAAAACGATTGATCGATCTTTGAAGGTATTATTAGAGTTAAATGTGCATAAATAAATGTGAATTCAACATCCTTTTCCTCGATGGTTCTGACAAGAGATGAAAAATTAATATTGAGATCAAAATCCCTTCTCCATGTCCCTCTGCTTGAGCTTGACTTTTCCTTGCTCAACAAGATGTATGCAATATAAATTGCACGAATGTTACTCAACATTTTGAACCAAACCACTTGGTATAAATGTATAATATAAATACACAAATGATGATGCCTGTACTGGGGAATTAGCCGAATTCCCAGAAGATTAGCAATAAGAGTTCAATGACTACATAAACCCATGAACTATAACCCATGGTTGCACAAATACTGTACACGGGCACATCGATACAACATTACGCCCTCTATCCCTCTATCTTCATCCCATTTTACCTTTTCTGGTATGTTCCACTAAGTTTGTCTCGTGCCATGCTTTTTAATATTTATGAGATTGTAATCCATTCTTGCTTTATTCATACTTTAACAATTTAACATCGACCACGCAATTCCACTTTTCTTGATAATCGCACTATTCACTCTTGTCCAAAACTTAGAAAATGGAGATTGGTATTGAAGTCTTCATTTATTTAAAAGAATATCCAGTGCAGCAAATATAGGAGTATCATATTGACTAAAGCAACAGCCAACAAGCAATATATGTAGGTAACAGTGCATCATATGCAGTCTCTTATTTAAAGCTGAATCCAAATGCAGTACCTGACAAAAGGTATTGTCCATCAGGAGTAAAGGTTGCTTCTATTGTGGTGTTTGGGGAGGGTTCCAAATTGAATCCACCTTTCTACATAGAAAAACAAGTTTTGGCTATATTACTTAAAAAGGAAAAGACAAAATAATCATTAACAAGAATGTAGAAATCTATGAGGAAAATGTAACCTTTTCTCCACAATAAGCATCAAGGATATAAATGCTATTGCTTGTAGTTGTCAAAAGCATCGATTTACCGTCGTTGCTAAATTTTATATCACACACCTCAGCAGTATCTCCACCAACAAGGAATGTATCGAAAGGACCCTACAATAATTAGTAAGATTGGATGATCACTTTTCAACAAATAGATTGTTCAGAAGAAGTAAGCAACACAACAGGAGACCCAAACCTTGTCATATGATCTAGAATCGAACAATTTAATAGCACCACCTTCCATTGCTACTGCAAATACAAGACCTTGATGATCATATGCAACAGTTGGTCTGCCTCGTAGGTGCATAATCCCCTGAAAACTGAAGTAATAAGCATCTATCAAACTGGGCATCATTATATTCAGGATAGCTTTTAGATACATGCATTGAAAGGCTAAGACTGCTCTAGGACACAGTGATAGAGAATATGTTCCAGGTAGTTGCTACATATACTTGGGTATACTAGTCAAGTGGTGTAAGGTTTTTGTCAATGATCCCATCTCAATCTTTTCTCCTTTCAGATAATGGGTTGAAGCTTGATAAACTAGTAGCCTCTCTTGATGTTTTATTTTAACTTCTTAGATAAGACATGATGTTTAGAATACTTTGCAATGCTAATCAGTATTTCAGAAGTCAAATTTGGATCAGTTTCAAATAAAACAGGACTTAGGCTATCCCCCAACCTCCAGACACACATGCATACACACTCTCAGACAAATATATGATGCATAAGTTTTACGTTTAGCAACTTAATTATGTGCTAAGCACAGTCCCAGTTTTTCATGCCCTTGCACCTTGATCAGCATATGTATATTATGTAAGCCCCTTACACCGTGATGTATATATGAAAATGTTTTCCAAATTTTATAAAGAAGACTAGCTTGATGACCATCTAAAGGGTATGTGTAACTGGATAGTATTTTAAAATAAGTTAAAAGTTAAAACACAGATATATTGTGTTGAGAATAGATGCAGATTATAAAAAGCTCAAACAAACCTGGCATGCGTTCACGCGTAGATCCCACATTCGGACACTATGATCAAGAGAGCCAGACATGAAGCTATCATTCATAGGAGACATGCATAATGACACAACCCTGTCTCCAACTCAAATAGATTAGCATGTGAAGCAACACAATATTTACACAAAGTGGGTGAGATTGTGAGAATAAGATGAAAAAGAAATAAACTAATCTATTATTTTTGTTTCCTCGTAAAAACGATACTCCGTATTATTGAGCTGTGTAACTGTGTTAGCTCATATTTTCACTCTAATCGAAAGGAGATCATCATTTCGCTCCAATCGAAAGGAAAGTGATACTGAACATCACAATACTGCTGTCCCATCATCATAAAATGTTTGGGATACACTACGAAATGGAAATTGTGGAAGGAACAGCCTACCTCTCTTTATGTCCATTGAAGTAACGAAGGCATCGATTATCATACATAGAAAGGTATCGCAATGATTCTGGCAGCAGGTTTGTAGTAGGACATGTCAGGGGTCATCTCTATAAAGTATAAACACACAAATAAAAGTTATCTTCTAATTGAATACCTCCATGGGTAGCCAAATTGTGTCTTGAAGAGCATATAACAGAACTAGGGTGATGGGTGAAGCAGACTCGATCAGCACCATGCTGCTTATGATATGTGGTCTTCAACAGCCTAAAAATTCATCAAACCCTTAATGGAGCAACTTAGCTGATTAGAAATTTAGAAGTAATATTAGCCCAGGGGCGGGGTTCTTCAGTGTCTTCTGGTGATCATGATGTGCGACAGACATACTGTAGTAAGTGTACTAGTCTAAAGGGCGTGATGTGTGACAGACATCCTACACTTACTGAGCATTTGCAGTGTCAAAAAGTCTAACAGAATCATCTTCGCTTGCAGTTATCAATAAATCAGCAGTCCTATGAAAATCGAGTGAACTTATCTTTCCACCCTGCGCAAAGGAGGTGAAATAAGGATCCAACAATCGAAATGCATGAAAATTAACACAACAAAAAGCTAAATTTCTCAATCTGAGTAGGAAGTAAATTTCTAAACATCAAAGTTTGACAGTTCTGAGAACAGAATAATGACATGCCACAGGATGAAAACACGCGAGGTCAATGCACTGTACTCACAAAATCAGTGAACACGGCTCCAACTGTCATGCTGCGAACAATTTCATCGTTGAGTTCGGAGAGTGACTTCATCTTGCTGGAGAAGAAACACAGCGCTGCTGTCTGCTTATTTCAGTACACCGATTGAGGCTGATTTCAGTGCTAATTGCAGGAGATACACAAGTCTGGGGTTCAGGGTTTATAAGATTGAAAGGGTGAATTTTACTCCGTCTTATTTTAGTTCATCACCAATGCGAATAAAGGACATCCTCCCCATTTTTTATATGCGACTATTGAGTTTTTGACAGATAAGAAAAAGGGCGTTCGTTGACAGATAAGAAAAAGGGCGTAATGAAAAAATCACTTTTAGCGTTTTCAATAATTGAAAAAATTATTTGATAAATAGTGGTTTTGCACTAGCATTTTTGGAAGAAAACTCTGCTAAAAGTAGGGTTTTTGAGTTGGTGTTATGAAATATTGCATTTTCTATTAATTTTGTCGCAAAACGGCTAAATTAACAAACACATTCTAACAACCCGCCAATTTATTTCGTTAGTCAAACCCGCTGACTGCTATTACCAACCCGCTAACATAACTCCTATCCGCTAACCGCGAAATGCCAAGCTCAACCAAAGTCTAATGTAATGATTATTATAAAATATGTACAACCTTCTCTTAAATTAAACTTTTTATTCACTCATGGCACAATTGTTTACATACTAGTTAAATAAGATAATTTAAGTGTGTTTTTAGAAATAGTTTTGATAGATAGATAACATAATGAGATTATTGATGATAATGTGATGTTGACAGAGTAGATTGTCTTTAACATTTTATGATTAAATGTCATTTAAAGGTGTTGAGGTTTATTCCTTCAACGCAAAGATCCAATGTCTTTCCTTGGATTTCGAACGGAGTGTTTAATGGATTATATGATGCAAGCAAGTGAAAGATGGATAAGTGACAACAGTAGTAAGTGAGTCGTATCTTATTAAGCGATAATAAGGGTCCGTATACAACACACTTCAACTACAAGCCTCGAGGTTGTTAGTCTATCTCAATAAGAAGAGAAGAGATAATTGTTATTGCTAGTGAAAATAAAATGTCAATCCTTTACAAAGAAATAAATGCTACTATTTATACTACCAAGGGATAGGTGATATCCATGATGTAGAGGATCATGAGTGGTCAGTTTCTCAACCACCAAATCTACTGCATTAAATGTTTCCCGCCAATATCTTGCCTTCCAGCCAAATCCCTGGATGAGCGCCCCCCTATTGTTGAGCCATGGATGTCCATGAGCGCAAGGACTAGACTCCTTGCGGTCTAGGGATAGCCATCCGGCCCACTGGCCCAAGGATGTTGTGGTCGATCGTTCTACATGTGAAGATGTGAGTCTGGCCGACCAACTTGTCGGATCACGCCTAAATTGGGGCTTGATGGTTTCCTTACTTGGGGGTAATGGGTCGATCCGCTATCAGGCCTATTAACACAACACAAGACAAGCGTCTGGGGGTCAACTTGCCGGATCACGCCTAAATTGGGCCTTGATGGTTTCCTTGCTAAGGGGTAATGAGCTAATCCGCTATCGGGCTTATTAACCTAACACAATTCCCCCATTTTCGATGTTCCGAGCATGCCTGGAATATAAAGAAGTATAGATCCCCCCCTCCGAGCTGATCCAAATGTTCGCTTCGATGTAACGATTATTGGCTTAGGGCTTTCAAATTCTCGCTCTTTCGCTCTCAAGTGTCTGCAGATCTTCAGTTTGGGTTCTTTCGCTCATTAGATCGGGACTTTTTCCAGTTTTTTAAAAGGTAATTTTCTTCATCGTTTCCTTTTTTATTCTTTCTTTGGGTTCCCAATGTCTGACCCAATGGATATAGCCACGGATTCCCGCCTGTCCTTTGAATCCAATTCGGAATTCTGGTCATCCCGAAAGACAAGTTCTTCTAGCAGCTTTAGGTCCCCGGCCACGACCGGAGAAATTAGTTTTGATACCGTGAATGGGAACGTCGTGGATGGGGACGCCGTTCCTAATGGCAACGTCGGGGGCGACGTTGCCCAAGAAATTGCTGCCCAAAGAGGGACATTCAGGAAGATGACGCTGAACCTCAACCCGACGATGTTGACTTGGGCGACGAAGCCTACGATGGAGATGACCTGACCATTTTTTTAGCTCGGTGTTCCCCAGGACGTTTGATGTGTGTTTTCTCGCACTTAAAATGGTTGTAAAAAAGTGGTGTAAAGTACGAGTATCGTCTCCACAGGGACGGACAAAAGGGAAATAAAGATTAACTAAACTTTAGCGATTAAAAAGAAATAAATAAAATAAAAGTGCAATTGTGCGAGATTGGTTGATTGATTGAAATAAAACTAATGCTAATGAGCGAATAAAAAGATTTGGTTTTCCTTAATTAACGACTAAGGGAACAGGAATTGATTCCGGGGTTAACCAGATTTCTGGCAAAACAGGCCTAATTACATGAAATTAATTTAATTGAGCCTAGCTAATCATTATTAAGTTCTTACCGCTCTCGCGGCGTAGAGTACAATAATTTAGGGGTCCAGACTGATCTCTCATGCGACAAGATCCTAAATTATTGCCAAAACGAACGAGCTTACGGCCCCTTAATCGCTACTAATCTCTTAGCGAACGATTAAGTGTGTGTGAATGTGTCCTAGAACAAATTAGATCTCTCTTAATTTATTCTATAAGCAATTGTAATTCTAGTGGCCATCTAGGTTACAAGAGATATCAGTTAAATTATTCATACACAAATTAAACGGCATTCATGCAATTAAATCGACAAGAATCTAGCCATCAATCATGATTAACCCCTTCATCAACCCCAAATCCCTAATTAAACTACTCACGCCTCATAATTGACGAATCAAAAGAATTGGGATGAATAGAAATAATTGTCATTAATTAAAGAATTGAACTTACAAAGAATCCCAGGTTCTTGGATTAAACAACGTAAAAAACGCAGATAAACTCGTCCCTAGGCCTCTTTCCAAAGTTCGTAACCCCCAAAACGGGGTTATGGAGGCCTTATTTATAGAAAACAACGAATTCGGGTCGAATTGGGATCAATCGCGGTCAGGCACGGTGCTAGGCACGACCGTGCCTGCGACCGTGCCTACGGAAGGAATCCGTTTTTTCGCGTCCAGGCACGGCATGCCTAGCTGCCAGGCACGACCGTGCCTGACTTAAGTCTTCACTTTTCCTTCGTTTTCTTGCTCCAAATGCTCCCGGATGCCTATGAGGTCGATCCAAATGCTCTTTCTTCATCAGAATTTCGTCGTGAATCTCCCGGTGACCTCCAAATCTTCCAAATCTTTCTCGAATGCTTCCAAACTCTGCCCGAATGCTTCTCAAGCGCCGATTGTCGGATTCCAACTTCTTCAAATCAACTCCAATTGCAACAAAACTCAATCCAACACCTGTTAAACACAACTTGAGCCAAAATTTGAGACTTGCAACGCCTTAAAGCTAGGAAAATCGTCAAAATCCGACCCGAACACGCATCAAATGCGTGTCTAAATACGGACTTATCAACGTTCCACGCCCCGTTGTAGCGTTGCAAAATGCTCATGGGTGCAATCAGTCCTTTTCTGACAAGGCTCTACAAGGGATCAATCGCGGCCAGGCACGGTGCCAGGCACGACCGTGCCTGACTTAAGTCTTCACTTTTCCTTCGTTTTCTTGCTCCAAATGCTCCCGGATGCCTATGAGGTCGATCCAAATGCTCTTTCTTCATCAGAATTTCGTCGTGAATCTCCCGGTGACCTCCAAATCTTCCAAATCTTTCTCGAATGCTTCCAAACTCTGCCCGAATGCTTCTCAAGCGCCGATTGTCGGATTCCAACTTCTTCAAATCAACTCCAATTGCAACGAAACTCAATCCAACACCTGTTAAACACAACTTGAGCCAAAATTGAGACTTGCAACGCCTTAAAGCTAGGAAAACCGTCAAAATCCGACCCGAACACGCATCAAATGCGTGTCTAAATACGGACTTATCAGACTCCCCCAGACTTAAGCTTTTGCTTGTCCTCAAGCAAATCGAACAACGGGACTTACGATAATCGCCACACGGAATTTAAAATAGTTAGCATGCATACGTAGTTAAAGGGATATTCACAGGACAGACAATCTAAACCAAGAAAATTCTTCCCTAAACTACATCTTTGTACTCAAGCTAATCTATTTGACACAATTATTCACAACATCCTCAAAGTAATGACAGCCTACACAAATAAGCTAGCTACTGATCAGAAGGACTTGTGAATGTGATGGTGAATGGACAATAATGATAGTCCTTTTATTTTGAGAGATCGGAATATTCTAACAAAGACTCAATGCATTCAGGAACTTCAGGGCTATTTCTAGGAACAAGGAACTCAGTAAGCCACAAATTAGGAACAATCATTTAAACCTATGCAAAGAGTAGACATGGTGTACAACTAAGCTAAACCGTCTCGGCACTTTTGTGCTTTGACGTATACTTGAATTACGCGGAGGACTAAAGCTAATTTTTTCAATAGCCTCCAAATTCATTAATTATGTTTAGTTTTCCTTGTCATGTTGGCACGAGAACGCCATTTCTTTCGAAAGATACCCAAGTCTCATCTTACGCTTTTTGACCGGGGCTCCCATTCTCTTTTTCGAAAAGTAAGAGGTCTAGCTATATTAATTTTTCACCTTTCGGATTTTCACTAGACATTATCCCATTCTAATCTCGGCCTCACCAAGGAAAAATAGCAATTAAGGTTCATTAATTTAAAAGTGAATCCATGCCTACAATGCAATCCTTGAAAGTATCAAATCCCTAAAAAGTGACTGCGCTTACCCCATTTGGGGCATAGGAACAGTGCCAAAAATGGCTCCTACACACAATTCCCTAAACTTAACAAATTAATCCCTTAATTCCCTAAACATCGAGACTAAGTCAGAAATATTCACGGGTAAGAAAGCAGGCCATTTGGCTATGGAGCTAAATTAATTGGGTAACAATGAATGGTCAGGCTCAAAATGGCTTCTCCTAAAGGATTTTATCAGGTGGGGTGGATGAATAATGGAAAATTCAATGGGTGACTAATGCCTTCATCCTTTCAACAACTAGATTATAGTGCAAGCAATTTAAGCCTAAACACTTCAAAGATGTTCTAAAAGCATAGTCAAAACGCTAGCCAGCTCACAAAGACACATTTTAAAGAAAAATTTTCAAAAATTTTGCATGAATTTCCTATGAATATACAACTAACACCTGCGCATGCTAACTCTAACAAATCGCAT